TACAGAAAAACTTCTGTGGTATTAGTTCACTGCTTATATGGAAGCAAAATGTAATAGTATTCTCAAGTTTCCAGTGTTTAATTGCAGGTAACAAATTTACTTTTCTTCTCAAGTACACTCTTTTGTATATTGAAACGCACAAGCATCTTGTATATTTACAAATTGTTCATATTCGGTGTTTTAAAATATTATGTCACATTATTTTTACACAAAAAATGCGTGTTGTAAATCCGCTATCGAAATGCCAATAACAGATGCGGAAGCCTCGAACATGACCACCGAAGCCATTACGGGCCCTCTAACACTAATTACCCACTGCAGTCTTTACATATTCCGTTGCAAATGGTAAAAAAGTAGCCAGACAAATGAAAGTATGTTTGGAATTATTTCATGAATTATGCTGTACAATTTTTACTGTATAAAGTATAACATTTTAAGGTAAAAGAGGATATTTTCGAAGTATATGACCATGTCGTATCTAGGAACATTTTAAAAAATGAAATAAAACAAATTCTACGCAAGAAGATTGTAACATAATAAATTTATTGGGTTCATTGTGTAAATATGTAAATTCTCTTTCGTTTTAACAACACAACGATAGAAAAGTATTGTTTTTGCTTTGTTAAGAAAGGAAAACCAGAAAGTGTTCTCAGGTACAACAGTTTTTCTATTGTCTAACCAGAATATTATTTTTATTTTATTTGACGGATTAATAAGTTGTTTAAATACAATATTCTTTTGTATGCGCTTTTAATTAAAAGTAATCAAATTAATTAAAAAGTAAGTATTATTGCCATCGGACAATCGTATATACAATTAATCTTACTAGAATATTAATAATATCTGAGACCAAACATTTGATTACGAATATTTTTCTGAAATTTCCTCCATAAAAACCTATTCATCTAATATTTATTAAAATCATTCGATCATTTATAATCGTAATCACGCGCCAATAAAATAATTTGATTTTTTACAGAAATTCCAAATTCTAATTCACATATTTATTAAATTTCTTCTTCTTCTTTAATCCAGTTTATACGGAGATTGTAACCTGTTGGCCTTTTCTCCGAATTTATTAAATTTATCTTTTGTTATTGAAATTATCCGAATAAATTTTCGCTGCAAAGTAAATCCTAATTTGAAATTTAATTGATTTTCAGTTTCGAATAATTCTTTTTATTCGCTCCGAAATTAATTTTACAATCATTTTACTAATTAAATTTGAATTTTATTTTATAGAAATTCGCGAATAAAAGATTTATTGGTTCCATTAGATTGACTAATGAACTAATGCAAGTAGTCGTTTGTATAATTCTTAATCATTTACCACTGACCGAAAGATGAACTTTTTCTGTGTTTTTGTCACACAAAACAGTTTTTCTTTAAACTTAAAAGTTATTTATTCGAAATAAAACTAATTATCCGCGTGCTTTGATGATTGTCAATTAGTTTATCAATTAAGTTAATTTTTTTATTTTTAACAGAAGTTTTTTTAATTGTTTGTCCTTTTGAATGGAAAGATATGAGAATACTTCATTAATCGAATTCTCTTGATTTTTTTTGCATTAATAATGAATTATCTTATAAAGTATGAAGTAGTAATTACATGATACGTAAATTAACATAAAAATAATAATTAATTTTTGTATTTAACGATCCATTAATGAATTTAATACGTTTATATATTTAATATATCATTGAAATCAAAGATTACACCGTGACGTAAAACTGTAACAAGTATTTCATTTAAATACTATAAAAATCCTAATCGTTTTCTCATTTTTATAATTATAAAATTGTTAACTTGATGAAGATTTTTAAACCCCTTTCGTCTTGCGTCACCTAGTGTATTTTCTCTATTGTCCAAGTCCGATAATGAATTTAGGAAGTGTGAAGGGCTCAGTTGAACTCCGTTCTGGGGTTGGTAATTTTATTACGTTAATATATTAAATTGATTCTTCGGCCCCTCATAAATGCTAATTAAATCGTAATTTTTACTTAAGTATTTCTGACTTTTAATAACTCAATTAGCATCATAGTAAATTTTCTGTCCGTTTGTTTTCACAATGACATTTCCGGTTCGTATAGCACGTGTCGGCTGTGGGGAATCAGAGAGAAATTTTAATATTTGATCGGACTGACTGTTGATTTTCTTTTCTTTAATTCAAAAATGCTTGTTTACTTGCTCAAAATTTTGAAACTGAAGATTCATATTCGATTTATTTACGTGTATTTTTATTTTTAATTTAGTACCGTAAAATAATTTACCCGAGCAAAGCCGAGTGTCTCAGATAGTATTTTGTAAGGTATATTGCTTCCTTCTAGCACCCCTATTTAATTAAAGATTTTTGTATCCAGTCCAAGCCCGCAGTGAGGCGATCTAGTACATACGTAGGTGGAGCCAAACATGATAATTTGAGCGGATCCTGAATCGCACCCAGAACTGTGGATGCTTTATACTAATTGCTTGTAGTAACAATCGACTGTCTGAAACTATGTTGTCGTTACCGTCATAAGTTAAAGAGTTAGGTTTTGCAAGAATGTTATTTTGTTGGCAGAAACTGTGCTAGTGTGATATTTAAAAATTTTAAGCCATATCGAATGCGAAGAACTGCATTGACAGTACTGGGCTTACATATTAATCACAATTTACTTTCTTCCTATTTTGTTTCTCTTATTTTGTGTTGTACCGTACTCACTTGAATCACTTTTAATCTCAACATCATGTGATACGAATCCTTTATACCCAGAAAATTTTTAACAAAATATTCCACTAGTATCAATACTACACTAGAACAAGTGCACAAGATGGAGGCTACTAGTGCACAAGTAATCTTTGTTTCCTTAATTTTTTATTTTTACCTTGTTTGATTCTCTTAGTGATGACTCTCTTGGGAGGATGCTCCAAGAGAGTCATCACTAAGAGAAATGCTCTAAATCAATAACATTTTTTGAGAGGGCAACACATATTAACGGAGACACAGAAAAATTCATAGGACCATTTGCTAACATTGAACCCCTCGAGCCACCATACCTATAGCTTTTTCTCGTCGTGAGACACTGCGTGGACCATACGTTTAATGGTGGCTGCTTACGAAACTCAGATACGAAACTTTTGAGGACGATATCGTACTTTTTCGGATGGATTTCGTACAAAATCATTACGTATTAAATAGAGGATTTGCTAGAATTGCAAAAATATCTATGTTACTATAATTGTGATTAATTATTTGTATTAGAATAAAAGGAGAGACACTCGGCCATTTTCTTGAGCCACTTCTTTCAGAGGGTACCTTCGTCAATTGGAGACAAAAGAGGCAGCCATGCCCATAGAAAGCAATGACATCAAACAAGCAAAAAAGCATTAATAGAACACATGAAAAAGCATTAATAAAAGCATTAATAGAACACATAAAAGCATTAATAAAAAAGCATAAATAAATAAAAATAGAAATAAATAAAATAAAAGCATTAATAGAACACATGAGAAACGTTTCATGCAGAAAGACTTAGTCTACGAAATTTTACGCTGTTTTATTTTTTTTCCACCGGATGCATTTTCTAGCAGAAACGCATTATTTAAATAGAAACAACTTTCTTATTTAAAACATCTGTAACTAAAAATTTGTTGATTATTCTGTGTACACGCCAATAGAATTGATTTCGTTCGACTCAGTTCGCAACTCTTTCGATTTTGCTCATTAAAAAATTATAAAACTATTGTGTTCCGCCCTCAGATTTCAACACAGCCGTCAAATAACTTTGAGAATCGCTGACTTATCGTATTTATTCTGTATTTTATATTTATATTTTAAGATAAATGCATCTAAAATAAATTTTGAGCAAATTTTAATTTAAAATAACGATTTTAAAACAATACTTGTTATTACTGCCGGTAGTGCCATCTGGTGATTAAATAAGTAAGTTTTTGTCACACATTCAAATTTATTTGTTGGGTTTTTAAAAATCTAACTACAGTATAACTTAATAGATTCTAAAACACACTCTTGTATCTTCCCAGTCTATTATCAAATTATCGCTAATATTTACAATTAATTAATTATTTACAGTTTCTGCATTTTTAAAACGTTTTTGTAAGAGATTACAAAAAATGTTTTAAATGTATTTTATAAAATACAGTCGACCCCCTATAATGCGGTAGATACGTTCCGCTTTATAAGAATTTCGCGTTGTAGGAATCCTTAAATACATGAGCCAACACAGCCCGGCACGTGTGCAGTTTACGGACTACGGCTGTTTGAAAGGTTTTCTTCCATAAAATTAATCGATTCTAGACTAATTCAACTCAACATTTCCATAATACGTATAATTTTTTGGGAATAATCCATATAAACTATGCTATAAACAAAAAATTGTAGGATTACTTACCGAGTGTGCACCGTTCGACGACGCCGTTGCTTAAGCTTGTTTTCGTCGTGGAGCTTGTCATCAAATGGCCCTCGCGTGCTTCCTGATAAAATTATTTTTTTTGCGAAAAAGTCGCTGAACTTTGGAGACATCATTAATATAAATATAATTTTTATGGACGTTAAATAATAATTGTTTTTTAGTAGGTCCGCTGCTCATTTAAACTCAACGGTTTAAACGAGCAGCGGTTTGTACAATGTCGCTATCGGTCTAGATTCGACCAATCTTGTCGCGACACGAGTCGGCGATGACGTTTTACCGAATTATACGAGTTTTTTAGCGTGTTTTACGAATATTGTCGCAATTTTTTCGCCATTATATACGAATCCGAACTATATGAACCCGTCTTATAGGGTGGTCGACTGTATTAATTTACTAACTGTTTTTAAATTTCTATTATTTCATTCTAAAAAGTATTTCAGTCATTTTAATTCACCAACGTTATTACGAACGACAACGACACTACAACAAAAAGTAATCACATCGAGAAATATTTTATATAAATACTATTAAAAATAGTAATGTCTTTACGTCCTAAAATCTATTTTTTGTATTATTATTGTCTATTAAGACTCCCTTATGGCAATAGCACTTATTACACTGGTGTAATATACCGAATATCAGTTTCCACTTACCTAATTCTTCCACTCCTTAGCCTTTTGACTACTGATTCCTCTTTGTGTTTGGTAGATTACACCAGTATAATAGGACTCCCTTATGGTAATAGCACTTAACAGACAATAATAACTAAATAGTTACATTAATGACGCGATTTAATGTTTCGAAGATTAAACAATGATTGGATGATAATGTTAAATGTAATTACAAGTCATCTAGATCTTCTCTAATTTAATTTATAGGCCTAAATAAAAATTTTGGATACATTTGATGGTTATCTTTATGTTCGAGGTTCTCCACTAGCGTTAAACATTTCTAAAAGAAAAGAATAAACTATATTAAACAATGCGACACAACAAATAATACCTTACGTTTTGATATTTAACAAAATCTAATTTAAAATCGACTTACAAGTGTTTTAGAAAAAGTGGAAGGACTGTCTTGATTGAGAGCAGTCATAGCTGCACGAAAACATTTTATATATTTTCCATATTCCTGTAATAGAAATAATTGTTAAATTAATTTATGGAATACAAATTCGTTTATTATCCTAAAAAAATAACATCAAATAATTACCATCGTGTTTTTGCGGTTGCATATAAATTCATCTATTTCCTCAAAAGTTTGGAAAAATTTTACTTGTTGAACGCAATTTTTGTGAAACTCTGTGATCTAATTAATCAAATACGTAAATTGTTATCATTGTTGTTGTTGTTGTTGTTTTGTTAAACAATACTAAGGAAAAGGCAAACGTATTGAATTAAGCTTACAAGTACGAAGTGATTTTCTAATGAACAATAGCGAGCACGGGCACGATCTTTCAAAGCTGTATGAAATTAAACATTAGAAATAAATTATTTTCTTATTAAGAAAAATCGAGTCGTGAACAGCAAGTGTTATTGTAATTAAGTAAGATAATCGTTACCAACCGACTTACCGCAATATCTGGTAACCATATCATCGGAGAATAATCGTGTTTTTCGTTCCAAATTTATCTACCGGTAATAGAAGAAACAACCGAAATTAAAACAACGAGCGGTGTTATAATCATGTTTTCAGCTTTCTTCTCCTTCTTTTCTTGATTATCTCATGGGATTTATATATATATATTTACTTCGCAACTAATTAATATGCAATGGACCGAAGAGAAAAACTAAAATTTCCTATTAAAACTCGTAAATATAACCTTAAAAACTTTATTGATTAGAATTGCAAGAAGATAAAAATATTATGAATNTCAGTTTCTACTTACCTAATTCTTCCACTCCTTAGCCTTTTGACTACTGATTCCTCTTTGTGTTTGGTAGATTACACCAGTATAATAGGACTCCCTTATGGTAATAGCACTTAACAGACAATAATAACTAAATAGTTACATTAATGACGCGATTTAATGTTTCGAAGATTAAACAATGATTGGATGATAATGTTAAATGTAATTACAAGTCATCTAGATCTTCTCTAATTTAATTTATAGGCCTAAATAAAAATTTTGGATACATTTGATGGTTATCTTTATGTTCGAGGTTCTCCACTAGCGTTAAACATTTCTAAAAGAAAAGAATAAACTATATTAAACAATGCGACACAACAAATAATACCTTACGTTTTGATATTTAACAAAATCTAATTTAAAATCGACTTACAAGTGTTTTAGAAAAAGTGGAAGGACTGTCTTGATTGAGAGCAGTCATAGCTGCACGAAAACATTTTATATATTTTCCATATTCCTGTAATAGAAATAATTGTTAAATTAATTTATGGAATACAAATTCGTTTATTATCCTAAAAAAATAACATCAAATAATTACCATCGTGTTTTTGCGGTTGCATATAAATTCATCTATTTCCTCAAAAGTTTGGAAAAATTTTACTTGTTGAACGCAATTTTTGTGAAACTCTGTGATCTAATTAATCAAATACGTAAATTGTTATCATTGTTGTTGTTGTTGTTGTTTTGTTAAACAATACTAAGGAAAAGGCAAACGTATTGAATTAAGCTTACAAGTACGAAGTGATTTTCTAATGAACAATAGCGAGCACGGGCACGATCTTTCAAAGCTGTATGAAATTAAACATTAGAAATAAATTATTTTCTTATTAAGAAAAATCGAGTCGTGAACAGCAAGTGTTATTGTAATTAAGTAAGATAATCGTTACCAACCGACTTACCGCAATATCTGGTAACCATATCATCGGAGAATAATCGTGTTTTTCGTTCCAAATTTCTCTACAGGTAATCGAAGAAACAACCGAAATTAAAACAACGAGCGGTGTTATAATCATGTTTTCAGCTTTCTTCTGCTTCTTTTCTTGATTATCTCATGGGATTTATATATATATACTTCGCAACTAATTAATATGCAATGGACCGAACTTCTAAGAGAAAAACTAAAATTTCCTATTAAAACTCGTAAATATAACTTAAAAACTTTATTGATTAGAATTGCAAGAAGATAAAAATATTATGAATATGTTATTATTTTTTAAATTAATTTAATTAGTACTTTTTTATGTTATTGTTGAAAGTTTGCGAGGGAAAGATATTCAGAGGCGGATTAGGGTCGATTGAGGCTCCGAGCCAGAAGACAATATTGGGCCACTTAAAAAAAAAGAGAGAGAGACAGGAAAAATAAAAATACATGTTATCCGTATTTTTAAATAAAGAAAGAATATTATTTCCAATAAAATTTGGATATAATATGTCATACATTATATTCAAATGTTACCGCCGACTGTAAACTTATAATGTTATTAAAATTGAATATATTTTAGAAATGTTTAACACTAATGGAGCTTGAACATATGCACCAAGTTTGGTTCATATGTGTGTGGGGGGCACGATTTTGTTCATCTTGTTTCAAGTTTAATAACTCCTATTTTTTTCGTCGAAAATTTCTGAAACGGTTGGAGATTGATGCTATTATTAATTAATTATTGGTGGTTAAAGGTCGAGGCAGTGGGAAGACAAAAGGGAGTCGTGTGTGGTATCTCGAGTAGGGAAGGACTTAATGACGATTTTACTCGTTATTAGTATTTACATTTTTTTTTTATATAAAACCTGAACCTACCCTCAAAATTAAGCTTTCTACAATTTTATAATAGTTTACAATATAAAAAGTTTTTATAATGAAATATCGTAATTTATTATTATTTTCAATTTTATATAAAATATAAACGCACTGTAGACTATAATGTTGCGTGTACTCTAAGAAAATGTAATAAATTAGTTAGAAAAGCACAATATTCGACCATTAACAAAAGAATAAATTGGAAACAGAGATTAATTGTAAACGGAACTTCGTTAAAAATATCTTAATTGAAGGTTAAATGTTAATGGTTAAACAAAAATAAATGATAAAGAATTTATAGATATTTAGAATACATATTGAGTAAAATACAAACCGATCAAAAAGAACAATTACGAATTAATCTTAAAAATATTATAACAAATAACAAAATAAAAAGTAATAATAAACTTAACTAGGTTAGATTCATCAATCAAATGACACAAGTTGAAAGTTTTTTTAACTGATAATTAATTAATTATTGTCCCGCTGATAAAACAAGATCAATCGTTATAATGGAAAAACTGAAATATGAAAACATTAAACTCGGTTTCTTCACTTCACATCAATGTAGGCCTATAGAAATGAATGAAGATCCTGTCATACGAGAAACCTGAGAACAAATACTTAAAGTTTTAAAAAGTACGAATAATATTAACATGAATGATTTTACCAATATTTTAGATGACAATTTTAAGAATTCCTAGACTCAATATTAAATTTAAAACGCATATAATACAAGAATATTAATAGTAACTGCAGAATATTGTTCCTAGACATTAAAAATATGTATTTGTCACCGTGAAAAACTGAAATAAGAGAATGTCAATGTTCTTTTGTGAATGTCGACACATTCCAAATACATCGGTGAAAGACCGAATATTTGGTTATATTGTCGCGGAAACAAACGGCAACCAGTCGTTAGGAACACAAAGGGGTATTTATTCAATCAGAGAACATACAACTACTGCTGCTGCTGCTGGCAGTACGAGAACCGCCCTCGACCTGTGAGCTCGCGGTTATATACTACGGAGACATGGCAGAAATATGTAAATGCTAACAAATTACCATGTGTTCTCAGATCGGGAGAATGTACATATAAAACCCGCATCAACGAGGTTCGAACCGGAGACCTTCGCTCGATAGGCAAAGACGCTAATCCCTGCATCATGAACGAGCCGCGGCAATATTATTATCAGTGACGTGCCGTGACATTTGATGATAGGGAAGCTGCGTTTCTGTAAGAAGCCGATTTCCAGGGGCATTCAGTTAATTCTTTAAATGTATTTTTAATAGATTATTTATCTGACGTAATTAATAAATAAATAAGTTCAATATAATTACCTCTGTTATTAGATTCAATAGATTCCCTATGCCTCTAAATGCCGATTCTTGCTTTGATAAAAACATAACATCTATTAATTTAAATACATCTATTAGCCGTAACTATCTCGTTATAATTTTCAATATTTATTTTATATTATTTACTAATGTTAAATTCTATTCCGCTTTGATTTCCAAATTGCTTCAAATACGAAAGAATCGACGATTTTTCGTGNTATCTATTAGCCGTAACTATCTCGTTATAATTTTCAATATTTATTTTATATTATTTACTAATGTTAAATTCTATTCCGCTTTGATTTCCAAATTGCTTCAAATACGAAAGAAACGACGATTTTTCGTGTTTTTCGCCAGCTAAATTGTCAAAGACATTCTTATTCCACACACTAATTTCATTTGAAAATAGTAGGCAAGCCAACACAACAATTTTTGCATTTTTATGCATTTACAGAGCCATTTTATCGTGAAAATGGCGAACAAATTTTTTATAGAAGTGGTTATATTTAACTTAGACATTGACCTTTCTCTTTTAATAATGTTTTCTTTTTCATTATATGATCTCGAGCCAAAACTTTTTTAAAATAAATTTTCAATATCGCAATTACATTCCGANGCGAACAAATTTTTTATAGAAGTGGTTATATTTAACTTAGACATTGACCTTTCTCTTTTAATAATGTTTTCTTTTTCATTATATGATCTCGAGCCAAAACTTTTTTAAAATAAATTTTCAATATCGCAATTACATTCCGAATCGCTAGCCACGATATAAGAGCTAAAATTAAAATAAAATTATAAAAACTTACTTGTTAAAATAAAATGTGTGATCTATATACAATTATACATACCTGGTATAAAATGTTCAATTGTATGAATATAGTTTTGTGAAGAAACGTACATAAAAATAACATAAAATCTTCTTTACTTTTTAAATATTAAAACAATAAACAATACGCTTAGTTAAAATTGCTCCCTACCAGTGGCTCGTGGATGGAATCAGAGACGATCTTGGTAGGTGTGCGGTGCATGCATGCGTGTCAAATCCCGAGGGTGCCGATACCGGTTAATGTCAAATGCCTCTTTTGTCGCATCACTAGTATACCTCAAAAGACGCGACAGGGTTGTTGTAGATTTTAAACGTTTCTGACTATAGCTGTAAAAATCTAAATATGTTAAACTTAGATTGTCCGTCATTTGTTTTCTATTTGTTGTCAAATTTTTATGACAAACGGATACATAAATCGTAAATTTAAGAAACAAATTCTAGAGCTTTTTCTGTACCTCGTGCATCTCTCCCATTCATTAAATTTAGTTGTTAATGACGCTGTAAAAGTAACAGTTAATTTTTTAACATTATACAATAATTGTACACGTTTTTTTCTACATCCCCTTAAAGATGGAATATACGAAATCGTAATATCACTGGTTTAACACTGAAATCCGCGAGTAATATAAAATCGGAGAACGGAATAAAAATATCAAATATTTTAATGGATTTTTTTAAACTCCTGTCAACTATACAGAACTATCATAAAAACATACCGGTAAATTCTTATCGGTTGAGTTAAGTTATAAATCTACTCGCGATTCACATAATGGGGCGAGGGCGGCCAAATATCTAGCGGGCAGGCCGCTAACAGCCCAGAACCAGTCCTGGATAGAATTGGATGCGGTATAGGTGTAGCATCCACCCAAGGTCGTAGGCTTCCACCAGCTAAACCGGATGAGGTTGGTGCTCTGTAAAACGCATGCGCGAATTCGGCTTTTTAGATGCTGACAACACAGCGCTNGCGGCTAACAGCCCAGAACCAGTCCTGGATAGAATTGGATGCGGTATAGGTGTAGCATCCACCCAAGGTCGTAGGCTTCCACCAGCTAAACCGGATGAGGTTGGTGCTCTGTAAAACGCATGCGCGAATTCGGCTTTTTAGATGCTGACAACACAGCGCTTCCACTCCGCCACTAATATTCGAATATATAAATACAATAGAGATCTTATCTTTTTTTCACGTGTAGTATAGAAATTTGCAATAAGATACATAATTCGGTTATAATAAAATATTGTGCGATTATTTTCATATAATTAAAATTAATATGTATTTATTTTTTAGAAAATACAAGGGATGCGGCGCATCCACCGCTTTCAATGGCGACACTCCACTATTGCCACGTGATCTATGATTAAAAACACTGCGTTTTCGACAATTTTACAATTTCATTTGTTAAAATGCTATACCGTGTTGCGTGCGCAGATAACCCGAACAGAATACGGCCCCTGGTCCTAAAATGAATTAGTTAGAAAACAAATGTAGGACATTCTATTAACTTTAACAAATTTAGATTTTTACAGCTGTGGTGAGAAACGTTTAAAATTTACAACAACCCTGTCGCATTCCTTTGAGGTATACTAGTGATGCGACAACAAAAGAGGCATTTGACATTGACCAGAATTCGGCCCCAGTATCGGCAGCCTCGGGATTTGGCAGCCCGCGTTCATGCACGCATTGCACACCTACTAGGACCGTCTCTGATTCCATTCATTAGCCACTCGTAGGGAGCTATGTGACTAAGTGGATTGTTTTAAGATTTAAAAAGTAAAGAAGACTTTGTTATTTTTATGTACGTTTCTTTACAAAGCTATATTTAATTATAATTTTCTTTAAAAGTATATTAATACAGTTGAAGAATATTTTGTACCAGTTCTTCCTATGAACTTGATCACATGATAACGATGTCGTAAATTCAATTTACGACATTGTTATAAGGACAAAAAATTTTCTGAACTGGTATATAGGCCTATATCCATTACACATTTTATTTTATCAAGTAAGTTTTTATTACATCCCATAGAGTATGAAAAAGTAAAAAAAAATCTTAAAACCATAAAACATAACTCTAGCTTCAGTATTTAATATTAAAAAATTGCTAAAAATTAAAGAGTTGTTCAAAGTATTGATACGATGCAACAAAATAATGTTATATATAGAATCTCCTGCAGTTGCCAACCGAATTATTAATACATAGTTGAAACTGGAAGAGCCTACGAGAACATTTACGTGCAATTAAATATAATTACATTAATTCAGCAGTGGCCATACATCATAATGGAGAAGGTTGCGAGATCTCTCTTGATAATGTTAAAATACTAAAAAAAATATATATATATATTATTAAAAGGAAATTATTTGAATATTTAGAAATTATTAAAAGAAATGAATATAAAATGAACTTAAACCATGGTATACCTATTAGTGAGATCTGGCAACCATCTCTTCATGACAGGTAGAGTCCACAGCAGTTCCCATTTCTCCATCTGGTTATAATACACTGTGATGTGTTTATTTTATCAAGTTAAAAAAAAAATATTTTAAAATATTATCTGTAGAAAAGTATATGTGATGCTATTTATATCTATTATTTTTTTTAATAAGATCTATACAAAAAATAAGGACTGAAGAGAGATCGTTGACCCGAAATTCATTTCCATTAGTAAAGCCTATATCAATAACAATTCCTTGTGCGATAAGTTAATGAAAAAAGGCCAAAAACTTTAGGGATATTTTTAAAAGAAATCCACAAAAACCAGTAATGGAACAATTAATTAGAAAAAATTTAATGCGATTCTATCAAAGTGTATTATTCCAATAAATATTGAAAACATATATTTTTTATGATAATTCATAAAGTAACCTAAGGGTGTTCATGCTTTACTTTTACATATTATTTAATTATTATTTTTCTTCCTATGAACTTGATCTACTTCCAATGAACTTGATCAAATGATAACAATGTCGTAAATTCAATTGTTAAAATTTTCTGAACTGGTTTAAAAGATTTTCTTGTTAGCAGAAATATGCTTTTATGTGTCAATATTCGTATTATTCNCGGCCAAATATCTAGCGGGCAGGCCGCTAACAGCCCAGAACCAGTCCTGGATAGAATTGGATGCGGTATAGGTGTAGCATCCACCCAAGGTCGTAGGCTTCCACCAGCTAAACCGGATGAGGTTGGTGCTCTGTAAAACGCATGCGCGAATTCGGCTTTTTAGATGCTGACAACACAGCGCTTCCACTCCGCCACTAATATTCGAATATATAAATACAATAGAGATCTTATCTTTTTTTCACGTGTAGTATAGAAATTTGCAATAAGATACATAATTCGGTTATAATAAAATATTGTGCGATTATTTTCATATAATTAAAATTAATATGTATTTATTTTTTAGAAAATACAAGGGATGCGGCGCATCCACCGCTTTCAATGGCGACACTCCACTATTGCCACGTGATCTATGATTAAAAACACTGCGTTTTCGACAATTTTACAATTTCATTTGTTAAAATGCTATACCGTGTTGCGTGCGCAGATAACCCGAACAGAATACGGCCCCTGGTCCTAAAATGAATTAGTTAGAAAACAAATGTAGGACATTCTATTAACTTTAACAAATTTAGATTTTTACAGCTGTGGTGAGAAACGTTTAAAATTTACAACAACCCTGTCGCATTCCTTTGAGGTATACTAGTGATGCGACAACAAAAGAGGCATTTGACATTGACCAGAATTCGGCCCCAGTATCGGCAGCCTCGGGATTTGGCAGCCCGCGTTCATGCACGCATTGCACACCTACTAGGACCGTCTCTGATTCCATTCATTAGCCACTCGTAGGGAGCTATGTGACTAAGTGGATTGTTTTAAGATTTAAAAAGTAAAGAAGACTTTGTTATTTTTATGTACGTTTCTTTACAAAGCTATATTTAATTATAATTTTCTTTAAAAGTATATTAATACAGTTGAAGAATATTTTGTACCAGTTCTTCCTATGAACTTGATCACATGATAACGATGTCGTAAATTCAATTTACGACATTGTTATAAGGACAAAAAATTTTCTGAACTGGTATATAGGCCTATATCCATTACACATTTTATTTTATCAAGTAAGTTTTTATTACATCCCATAGAGTATGAAAAAGTAAAAAAAAATCTTAAAACCATAAAACATAACTCTAGCTTCAGTATTTAATATTAAAAAATTGCTAAAAATTAAAGAGTTGTTCAAAGTATTGATACGATGCAACAAAATAATGTTATATATAGAATCTCCTGCAGTTGCCAACCGAATTATTAATACATAGTTGAAACTGAAAGAGCCTACGAGAACATTTACATGCAATTAAATATAATTACATTAATTCAGCAGTGGCCATACATCATAATGGAGAAGGTTGCGAGATCTCTCTTGATAATGTTAAAATACTAAAAAAAAATATATTATTAAAAGGAAATTATTTGAATATTTAGAAATTATTAAAATAAATGAATATAAAATGAACTTAAACCATGGTCTACCTATTAGTGAGATCTGGCAACCATCTCTTCATGACAGGTAGAGTCCACAGCAGTTCCCATCCCTCCATCTGGTTATAATACACTGTGATGTGTTTATTTTATCAAGTTAAAAAAAAAATATTTTAAAATATTATCTGTAGAAAAGTATATGTGATGCTATTTATATCTATTATTTTTTTAATAAGATCTATACAAAAAATAAGGACTGAAGAGAGATCGTTGTCCCAAAATTCATTTCCATTAGTAAAGCCTATATCAATAGGCTTTACTAATGGTATAACAGTTCCTTGTGCGATAAGTTAATGAAAAAAAGCCAAAAACTTTAGGGATATTTTTTAAAAAATCCACAAAAACCAGTAATGGAACAATTAATTAGAAAAAATTTAATGCGATTCTATCAAAGTGTATTATTCCAATAAATATTGAAAACATATATTTTTTATGATAATTCATAAAGTAACCTAAGGGTGTTCATGCTTTACTTTTACATATTATTTAATTATTATTTTTCTTCCTATGAACTTGATCTACTTCCAATGAACTTGATCAAATGATAACAATGTCGTAAATTCAATTGTTAAAATTTTCTGAACTGGTTTAAAAGATTTTCTTGTTAGCAGAAATATGCTTTTATGTGTCAATATTCGTATTATTCTTTTATATTTTCTTCACTAGCCGAGGATAACGTAGAATTGACCTGAAAGAAGTGACGAAATCACTCGTTTATTGAAATTAAATATTTTTATTGAAGAAAATTTTACTAAATGTTATTCCGTGTATAATTAACTATAAGTTTATTTCTTAATTAATTTAAATAATTCTCCTGTATATGAAAATCTTTATGAAAGAAATAAAAATTCAATTCGAAGTCATGTTTATTTCCTTGATATGAAAAGATATAATACCACAAACCACAAACTTCTTATCTAGAATATAATCTACGATATTTGTCTGTTTTGTCGAATGAAACCTTGAAACGTCGAGAAGTGGAAAAAAAAAACAAATTCGGAGATATTCTTTATATGTATGAATGTTATTGTATGGAGAGCACGATTTTATTCACCCATTTTTAAGCTTTTTATCGAAAATTTCTGTATATTAAAGAATTTTTAAAATATTTTATTAAATATTTCGTGATTTTGCATGATATACAGAATTTCGTTATACAGGAATTTTGCAGGGAAATTTGTGTATTGGGGAATTAATGCTATTAAATTTTGGTGGTTAAAGGGCATGGGGGTGGTAGATAGAAAAGTGTCGTGTGTCAGCTCGAGTGGAGTCTCACTTAGCCTTTTGACTACTGATTCCTCTTTGTGTTCGGTAGATTACATCAGTATAATAGGACTCCCTTATAGTAATAGCACTTAACAGACAATAGTAATTAAATGGTTACATTGATGACGCGATTTAATGTTTCGAAGATTAAACAATGATTGGATGATAATGTTAAATGTAATTACAAGTCATCTACATCTTCTCTAATTTAATCTACTGTATATTCCTAAAGAAAAAATTTTAGATGAATTTGATGGTTATCTTTATGTTCGAGGTTCTCCACTAGCGTTAAACATTTCTAAAAGAAAAGAATAAACTTATATTAAACAATGTGACACAACAAATAATACCTTACATTTTGATATCTAACAAAATCTAATTTAAAATCGACTTACAAGTGTTTTAGAAAAAGTGGAAGGATTGTCTTGATTGAGAGCAAACATAGCTGCACGAAAACATTTTATATATTTTCCATATTCCTGTAATAGAAATAATTGTTAAACTAATTTATGGAATACAAATTCGTTTATTATCCTAAAAAAATAACATCAAATAATTACCATCGTGTTTTTGCGGTTGCATATAAATTCATCTATTTCCTCAAAAGTTTGGAAAAATTTTACTTGTTGAACGCAGTTTTTGTGAAACTCTGTGATCTAATTAAATACATAAATTGTTATCATTGTTGTTGTTGTTGTTGTTTTGTTAAACAATACTAAGGAAAAGGCAAACGTATTGAATTAAGCTTACAAGTACGAAGTGATTTTCTAATGAACAATAGCGAGCACGGGCACGATCTTTCAAAGCTGTATGAAATTAAACATTAGAAATAAATTATTTTCTTATTAAGAAAAATCGAGTCGTGAACAGCAAGTGTTATTAAAATTAAGTAAGATAATCGTTACCAACCGACTTACCGCAATATCTGGTAACCATATCATCGACTACCATCGGAGAATAATCGTGTTTTTCGTTCCAAATTTCTTTACAGGTAATCGAAGAAACAACCGAAATTAAAACAACGAGCGGTGTTATAATCATGTTTTCAGCTTTCTTCTGCTTCTTTTCTTGATTATCTCATGGGATTTATATATATATACTTCGCAACTAATTAATATGCAATGGACCGAACTTCTAAGAGAAAAACTAAAATTTCCTATTAAAACTCGTAAATGTAATCTTAAAAACTTTCTTGATTAAAATCGCAAGATGGTAAAGATATTATGAATATGTTATTATTTTTTACATTAATTTAATTAATAAATTTTTATATTATTGTTAGAAGTTTGCGGGGGAAAGATATTCAGAGGCGGATTAGGGTCGGTTGAGTCCCCGGTCCAGAAGAAAATATTGCGCCCTTTAAAAAGAGAGAGAGAAACAGGAAAAATAAATAAAAATATATGTTAACCATATTTTTAAATAAATAAAGAATATTATGTACTATTAATGTTTTATTTTCAATGGATATGGAATGAATGACCGATATCTGGCGAATGTCAACATTCTCCAGTGAATGTCAGCATTCACACAGTCGTTTCGTGTATGTACGAAATATTTGTTAAATATCATTATTTCTCATTTACACCGGCAAATGTCGACATTCAACATGCGTTGATGGTGAGTGTTGAATAAAAATATTTTTATTACGTTAAGACAAAAATGCAACTTTTTAATATGTGAAAATAGGAGAAAGTTTAAGTAACAACGCATGTAAATAAACTGTTGAACCTAAAACGAACAGTTCATTCTTAATCAGAAAAGAAAAATAATACGCAATAGTAAACTCAAACATACATTATGTGATTAACGTTATAAAATCTTATTTATTGCAACAGCTTAAACTGTTATGGCACTTTGAATTGCACAAGAGTCCCTTGCTTTTACAACTGCATTTATTCGTGGAAAACTTCTTTTTGCAATGACAGCGTGTATAACCTTACCCTCCACTTTTTGAATTAGCTGCAGCTGCTTCTCTTGGCGATATTTCTTAAGAAGAAATCTCATCTATAGAAAGTAACATTTCTTTACAAATTACGAACTGATTACGGGTATAAAGCTGCTTGAGGGTACCATTTTTGTTCGCTAATTTATAAAAGTCGGAGTCTTCTATTCCAACAACAACCACCAACACATTTCGGGCATCTGTACGGTGACGGTTGACATCGGGGACTTATATTTGTACGGTATCAAAAATTTGAGCAGAAGGAAACGGCGAAGAATTTGGTGACAGACTGTCGCCTCTCTGTCGACATCGGTTTCTCGAGTGTCGTTTCGAACTCCACCAAAACTTTTATGTAGTCTGCTTATCGACATACACCGGCGATTGTTCGAATGTACAGTATAATAATATAACCAAATATTCGATCTTTCACTGACGTATTTTGTACATGTCGCCATTCACCGGAGAATATAGACATTCTCTAATTTCGATATTTCACAGTAACAGATATAATATGTCATACATTTTATTCAAATGTTACCGCCGATTGTAAACTTATACATAATTAAAATTGCACATATGAAACAAAATTTGGTTCATACGTGTATAGGGGCACAATGTTGTTTACCCGGTTTAGCTGAATAACTCCTGTTCTTTTCGTCAAAAATTTCTGAAACGGTTTGTGTATTAGAAGATTGATGCTATTATTAATTAATTATTGGTGATTAAAAATCGAGGGAGTGGGAAGACAAAGGGGAGTCGTGTGTGGTATCTCGAGTAGGGTAGGACTTAATGACGAATTTACTCGTTATTAGCATTTACATTTTTTTAATATAAAACCTGAACCTCCCCTCAAAATTAAGCTTTCTGCAATTTTATAATAGTTTACAATATAAAAAGTTTTTATAATGAAATATCGTAATTTATTATTATTTTCAACTTTATATAAAAATATAAACGCACTGTAGACTATAATGTTGCGTGTACTCTAAGAAAATGTAATAAATTAGTTAGAAAAGCACAATATTCGACCATTAACAAAATAATAAATTGGAAACAGATTAATTGTAAAGGAAACTTCGTTAAAAAATATCTTAATTGACAGTTTAAATTTTAATGATTTAAGAAAAATAATTTATAGGGAATTTATAGTATATTTAGAATGCATATTGAGTAAAATACAAACCGATCAAAAAGACCAATTACGAATTAATCTTAAAAATATTTTAACAAATAAAATAAAAAAATAAACTTAACTAGGTTAGATTCATCAATCAAATGACACAAGTTGAAAGTTTTTTTTAACTGATAATTAATTAATTATTGTCCCCGCTGATAAACAAGATCAATCATTATAATGGAAAAACTGAAATATGAAAACATTAAACTCGGTTTCGTCACTTCACATCAATGTATAGAAATGAATGAAGATCCTATGTCATACGAGAAACCTTAAAAATACTTAAAGTTTTAGAAAGGACGAAAAATATTAATATGAATGATTTTAACAATATTCTAGATGACAATTTTAAGAATTCATGGACTTAATATTAAAGTTAAAACGCATATAATACAAGAATATTAGTAATAACTAAAGAATATTGAGCATAGACATTAAAAATATGTATCCATCTATACATAAAAACTTTATAATTGATACATTGACTAATTTAAACTGTGATAATTCCGCAATTGAACTGGTTCAATTTGTTTTAAATTTTATTTGTGGTACAAAATTTTTCAGACAATTGGATGATATCTTCGTCGGCTCACGTATAGGCCCTAAAGTTATGTATGAAGAAAATAGATCAAATTATTAGAAACCTCCGTGGAATAATTGAATGCAATAGGTATGTAGATGATTGCTTCATCATTTATGATAATACTGTAACCAACCTTCAAATAGTCTTCGACAGTGCCAATAGTATGGTAACTAACATAATTGTTCAATTATTAAAACCAGTGGGATCGGTGATAATATTAATACACTAAAAATAAAAAATTTTTAGTAAAAAAACAAGTAAAAATTATATTCCTTCTATTTCCGACTTCGAGGATTCTATGAGCCAAAACAAGACAAACAAATGGCAAAAAATAATCATCACTTTATTAAATTTATTCATATGCATTTCGCCACATAGGCCTCCTCAGTGGATACATCAAGGTGTTATTCGTTGGTTACGTTTTATACCCAACAGCCGTTCCCAGCATGCATCAACAATCATTCCAGCATTCAAATTAAGCAAATTTACATGTTCGGCGATACAAAAATGTTCTACAATTTTTCTTTCTAAGTTATTTTCTATTCTATACAATATTTTAGTATTTTTTATATTTATATTACAATTAAATTCTCTACAATGTAAAAACCATGCTGATTCCGTTCTTCTCAGTCTAATGGCCGCCTCATGTTCCTTTACTCTCAACTCCAATCTTCTTCCGGTTTCTCCAATGTAATAATTTGGGCTTCCACATGTACATGACATTCTATATACGACACCGGCGATCTTAAATTGGTCTCTGGGCGATTTTTCACTATTTATTATGTTGATAATGTTTGACATTTTATTCTTTTGATTCGCAACTATGCATATAGAAAATTCTTTAAATATCGGTTTATATTTTTCAAAAAGATTAGTAACGTAAGGAAACTTTACATAAGAAATATCTTCTATACTGTTTTTAACATTAAATCTACGTTTTAAATATAAATTGTACCACTTACAGAGAATATACTTCGGATAATCATTTAACTGAAATTTCTTAAACAATCGTTTTACTTCTATGTCTATATTTTCTTGCTGAGTTGTTCGATTTAATATCTTTCTTAATTCCATGATAAAAACGCTCTTTTTTTGTAAAGAGCAGTAAGTAAGTGGTTAAAAAGCTGTTAAAATAGTTAAAAAATGAAAAGATTAATTAAATTTTTTAATAAGAAACATATTTCTTTAGTTATGGCAGATAAATCAAAGCAGTTGGTGATTATAAAAAAGGAGGAATTGTTATCGAAAAAATTAGAAATAATTTCATCAGATGATTATGAATCATTACCTAGAAATCCTATTGAAGAAATTAAAAGCAATCTTACTAAATTAATTAAAAAATATAAGAATGAAATTCCAGCATATCAAGTCAAGAACATTTTGGATTTTAGTAATGTAAGTGTGAACCGCCGGGGAGGTCGGAAACCGTCGACTCTCCCTTTTCGGCTACAGGTCGTTAAACCTGCTCACTTGTCAAGATGGCTAAATTTCGGATGCGGTCCCGAAGGGTCGGGATTCTTGTGGTCAGGTCGAGTGGAGGAGGTGAGAGGGGTCGTCGACGAGGCGTAGGCGATATACGAGTAAAAGGACACCATTTAACAATGAGAACAACAATTTATTAGACTAACAAGAACGTAATTAATGATTACAAAATCTAACATCGGGGGGGAGTGAATTTATTTCGCCTAACTCCTAACTCGCGGAGAGAGAGTTTACATTCATCGTTTCATACCTCTAGTCGATTCCAACGTAGGCACAGAGTTCGACGCACAAAGTTAAAGTTTCCCGACGACTTAATCCTTTTGGACGGTAGATGTGAGACTCCCCTGAGGAGGGGGAAAGAAGTCGCTTTTATAGCTTCGGGCTGGGAAAATCAATCATGTGATCACCTATTGTGAGAGATAGGGTTGGTCCTGCAGGTGTGGAGGTTAAAGTTGTTCCCGGGATCCAAAACAAAATGACGAATTCGGACTTTAACTATAAACTTTTTGTCTTGCAGCAGGGGAATGCCATTGTTCGAGGGTTGAATGTTTATACCAAAGCAGAATGTTATCAGTTTCCATCGACATTTGATTCTTTTTTTCGAAAATGTTATTTTAACGCGGAGGCGACAAATTTATTTCAAATACGTCGAAAATTTAGGGAGAAAATGAAGAATTTCTATTTTTAGATTATACTGGAATCGGATCTCACATAAGAGAACCTAAGTTAAATGTAAGAATCAAAACACATAAGCCTGGTAATACTTGCTAGGAGGCCTATGTGGCGAAATGCATATGAATAAATTTAATAAAGTGATGATTATTTTTTGCCATTTGTTTGTCTTGTTTTGGCTCATA